CCCCTCCCTCCACCTAAGCCATCTGAAAACCCCGAGGCCCTGAACCTCGAAACCCTTAATCCCCAAAAGCTTGAAACACGAGCTGGTCGGAAGGAGCCCTGGTTCCAAAAACCCGGCAAGCCTACACCCTAAACCATAAACCCTCAAATTTAACAGTCAGTTCAGTCATCAAAGAAACGCCAACCCTGTAGCATGTAGAGGCCCACTATTACTGTTTACATGCGTGGCAAAGACTGTCCGAACGTCACCCAAACCCTGAACCCTGGACCCCAAACCCTACACCTCTAAACTCAACATCCTGAACCCTGCCTGAACCCTTTCTCGAGTCTGCAGGCAAGTTGATTTTTGGAGATGCTGGGGGCAAAAGGTTGCCATAAATCGGGGGATTTTGGCAAGGTTTTTTTTTCCAACGGGATGGTTCTGGTGGAACAGGCTCGCGCGGGATGCCTTCAAGCACAGGGGGTTTATTCGCTGTGCCGCCCACGCTGCTACGAAGTGTGGGTGGCTTCTCTTCGCGATGTGCGCTTCACCGCGAGCGAACCACGTGCTGCGCACCGTGCCCCCGCAGGCTGTGGCACTGCCGAGTGTTGTTCTTTTCGGTGGGTTCCTTTGACAATACGAGGAAGGCGACTAGCGAAACCTCGGTCGTTTAAAAAGTGCACACCCTTTCGATCGCGCGCAAGGGCGAGCACAAGCTATGCTCAAGGCTTGTTGGTAAGGTTGGTTCAAGAGTGATATTCAGCAGCGTTGTAGGTAGATGAGCCTTGAAGCCCCCGTGTTTTCCCGCAACCGAAGCTTAGATTCGAAGCAACCAAAGTTCAACAGCCACCGCAATAAACGTTACAGTAGTCTTCAACAAACCTTGCTCGCGCAAGCACACCCAAGGAACGCGCAAGGGAGAAGCGCAAGGGATCTCAATTAGCATGCGTGGAACAAAGATATTGGACGCCCCTCTTGTGCGCACGCGCGTGATGCGGCGATATGGGAGACGTAGGAGCTTTGCCTCGGCGGCGTGGCCAGAGCAGACGTCGCACACGCACAAAACACGTGAGCTCCTTCAGGCGAAGGGTTGGCACGAGTGCCTTTCTAGGAAACAGTCGGAGCGGGCGTCCACCACGCTTGACCGACCAGGGCTTGGGGGACTGGCCACATGGCAGGCTGGCCCACAGGCCGGCGCATGCCGGCGCCTGGTTGATTGCAGGCCCTGTGAGTTGTTTTGGCCGCCCTGTGCGCCTCCGCTGCCCTTTCGTGCCAGCCGTTGCGGCCCACCCGGATGCGGAGGAGAAGTGGACGCTTTTGGTGACCACGCCCTCGCATGCTCTGGCTGGTCTGATCGCTTGCAGGGCGAAGATCGTGGAGCGCACGTGGCTCCGGGCGGCCGTCGGTCGGCATGGGCAGGGGGTCCCCCAACAGTGACTGGCGCACACAACAGCACCCAACGTCCGCTCCGATGACCGGGGCCGCCTGGACGTCATTTCTGGAGCTCTCGGAGGCCCTTTGCTGAGCCGACAGTTGGCCCCAGAGCTGGCACGCGTGCTCGACCTTGCTGACGCAAAAGTGCCGAGCCGCGTGCCGTTACGCGACCCGTAGTTTAGTCATGGAGGCTGCGGTGAGGCGTGCCGCAGGCCCGCCGTTCCAGTTCTGGCCGTTGCTCAGCGGCACCTGAGACTCAAGCCAAGGAAATAGGTCCGTTAGAAAAGAAACTTTTGCGGCGGGGAGTTGGGAACCTGGTGTTCCATGAAATTAAAAAATTCAGTTGCCAGTGCGAAATTGTGCATGTCAGGGAAGCTGCCGCTTGCTTGAGACTGACCCAGCCCTGTCCTGCAGACACAAGAAGGCGTAACAAGTATAAAAAATTGTGCGCTAGGGGGGGGACATTTGGGTGTGGGGATGCAATCCTTGGAGACCAGGATAAACCTATGTGTTTTTAGATGGCACGGGGATAGGTTCGCGGTGTCTGGAGACATTCCGTGGAACCCCGAGAAGCATTTTTGGTTTGTTTTTTGTTGATTTTGTTGTCTAGCCAGAGGGGGCTTGTGGAGCACAGGGAAAACCATTTTTGAGCTTTCCTGTATTGCTTCGTTGTCAAGAATTGTCAGGGGGAACATGCGCAGCGGCGGGCCGGGCGTGAGTTTTCCATGGTACTCCTTGCCTGAGGCTTAGAAAAAGAAGCAGTCTTTTTCCTCGAGTTGTTCCTGGTAGTTGTGAGGTGGGGGGGCGGGGGGCGTGAGTTTCAGTGTCCAGACGTATTGCATTTTGGAAAAAGAACAACCATTTGCCACAGGCATCCTTGGCATACAGAAACTGTTCGTTTCTTTCCTAGCTAGCTAATTGCCGGAACTTGTGCGTCGGGGAAGCGGAGATACTCCTCGACGCGTCGAGCCAAGACAAATGACTGTCAAAACTAGATGCCCAGTTGCCAGCTGGAACTTGTGTTTTTTCCTATCTCGTGGGTGTGCCCACATACTTTCGCGAACGCGTGCTGCTGCCAGACATGTCGCCCAGTTCTCAAGCATTTCTCCGATCCCAAGCTGGGCCACAGTGCCGCGATGCAAATCGCATTAAGGCGCCGGCTGCGACAGCTCTGCGAGGGGGTGCCTACGGCCTGAACCCTGGGTGCGGCGCAGCAGCGGATGGTTTCGGTGACCATGCGCTTGCCTGCCCTCGCAAGTGCCTGCTGAGAGCCAAGTTCGCAGAACGAGCGTGGGTCCGGGTCGCGAGAGAGTCACTGGGGGCGGAAGGGCAGGTCGTACCACACGATTTTTCGTTTAGCCCTAACGAACGCTTCGTTGGCAAGTGAATGTAGCACGGGGAATTTGTTCTGGGCCCATAGAGTACCCCAGACACCGAAAACTTTTTCAAGCTGCCTGAGGAAAGGTGTGCTGGCCGCGGTGGCAGCAAACTCGTCTACCTATAGACGGACCACGCACTACGGCCGCAACGGTAAGCGGCTCTGGCCGGCGGGGGCATCGAGGTGCTGCAGGGTGTCCAGCGGCGAGCCGTTGCTGGTTTCTCCCAACGCCGTGACGGCGCGATGCCACGCTTGTGTTTACTTCGGCACGAACGGGACACCCGCAACCATGCGCAGCAGTGGTGGACGGAGCCGCACTGAGTGGCCGAACACCGGAAGCTCGGATTCACGAGGCGGGCCGCAAAAGCTCGTCGTGCTGGGCTCGGAGGTGGGCGGATGCCGGAACGAGCAGGCATGCATTTTGGTGTGTGGTCAGGCTGAAAGCCCAGCGGGCCCCCCACGCCATCCGCACAGGAGCGTACGCCGATTGGGCGAGGTATTGGTGGGGCATGTTGTCCCTGGCGGTGCAGCAGGCCATCAACACAGGGCCCCATATAGTTAGCACGCATAACTCAGGAGGGCTTGGCGACCACGACGCCAAGATGCCTCAAAACCTTAAGCCCTAAATGGGAAACCCTTCGGCGTCATCCATAGAAAGCCACACAAGGAGATTCAGCCAGAGCTAGAAGACGATAACCACACCAGCTGGCCAATCATGCAATGCAGTAAGGCAGCAAAGGAAGGGGGGGGGGCTGAGCCCGAACACAGATGCAGGAAAGGTTGGAGAATGTACAAAGTGCATGATAGAATGAGGCCGGGAGGATGCTATCCAATAAAGAAGGAAGAAAGCTGCAATTCCAACGCGCTGGACCGTGATAGCGATAGCCGAAGCAAAAGATGATAATCTTCGCATATATCCTCTATATATATATATGCATATGTCGATGGAGCGAACGAGCTCTGTCCTCTCAAACTAGGCTCACCCCTAACCCTCGCCTGCCGAGTCGAGTGCCAGTGCTAAACATTTATAGACACACTGTACATTGTAGTCTGCATTCATGATTCATGATGCTTGCTTGATTTACGCATGTCCTTTTCCAATCACTTGTGGCCCACCTTGCTCTGCCAGGAACGAAACGACGGTCAAGGATTCAACAAAATGCTTTCGGCTCGAGCTTGGTACGGTAGCATGCAGGAGGATGGAAGTCCGATGGGTTTGTCTCGTGTTGGTATGAAATGGCGGTGAAATGATTGAGCATCGCGGCTGCCGACTTGGTCATGTCGTTGTCCGTGCACCTTGCAGAGTTTCACAGCAAACCTACACCCGTGGATTGGCATGGGCTCTGCCAATGAGCAGAAGAAAATCAACTTCCAGGTTGTGTAAGCCTGGTCTTGCAGTGGTTGCCGGCATGTATTGGGCATTTGCTGCGACACGTCGTCGAGGAGCCACTCGAACTGCCAAGGACACGGAGGAAACGACAGATGCTCAAGAGGAGAATTGGCTGAGCAAATTCACATCTGTCGATGTTTCGGTTTTCCAGCGCCCGCGTGCATACGCAACCCGGACAGCTCTGGAACGGGCATTGGAAGGTTTGCCGGTACGATTGAAGGATCTCTCACGCAAAAACGGTCCCAATGTGCCTTTGTCGCAGCTGGAGAGCCCAATTTACCGAGGCGTCGCTTTCCTGACTGCTTTTGCAGCATACCCAACCGTGGTGCGCTGTTTGCGCTCCTTGCTTTACGATGACCTCGGTGGGAACACGGAGGACCTAGCAGATGTTGTGACTGAGTTTGTAACCGTGGAAACCTTCGTTTTCGGCAGCTACGCTGGTGTGACCCTCCAAGTGCAGATGCAACGCCTCGCGGATCTTCAAACAGAGTCCGTCAAGGAAAGTGCCTTGTTGTCAGGTTTGTCAGAGCACACTGTCGGGCTCTTCGATTCGTTGGACAAAAGATCGCTGCAAGGGGGGACCGGGGCAACTGTGGCCAAAAATGAGGACAAAGCATTGCTGGCATTGTGGCACCACTCTGAGCGAATGGCTTATGGCACGAGGGGTGTGGAGTTGATGGACATAGCTGATCGCGATCGCCAAAGCGACAGCATCAGCAACTATCGGCAAGCACTCCTCAAGTGGGGCCGCATGCGGAGAGAACAGCCTTCAACAGCACCGCTGTATGAGCCAGATTTGCAAGTGTGTTTGGGCATGCTGAACAATTTGAGAGATTTTCGAGCGGGGCGATTATCCAGGGAGTCACTGACACTGCCACCTACATTTTTTTGGACATTTGGTTTACTGTCGATATTTATTTCCATATCGTTTGCTCTGAGGGAGGCTGCGGATCCCAACAGCGAATTTTCCATCGTAGACCGCTGTTTCTTCGCGACGCTGACACTGGCATTTCTCACTTTGTTTCGCTTGGCCGTAGATGTGAACTTCCCTTTTGGTGGGGACTATCAAATCCGACGCGGGGCCCTGACAGCCGAGCTAGTAGCAGCTCGCACCACTTTGGCAAAGGCACTGGGCCCAGATAAGCTAGCAGTATACAAGGCCAAAGAAGCCAAACAAAGAAGCATCGACGAAAATGGTTTTGCCCCGGTAGCAGCCCGCCAGACAGATTTAGGTTGCGAATGTTGCTGCGGTTGGTCTTGATTCTATGCTGCTCTGGCATAGCTGAAGCACGAGATGTGCAATGGTGCAGGTTACGGAGCCGAGCTTACTTAAAATCTTGGGCAAGCATTGGAGCGCTACGAGCTGTTAGGATCTGTTTGGCAAGTCCAGCGTGTTAGCCGGCGGGCTGATGTATGGAAAGCCTGGTGCATACCAGCTAGATTCATGTCAGGCCACCTTGCTGCTTGGTTTAGGGCTAGAGATAGCAAGAAAGAACAAAGAACAAAACTTGTGTCCGCGAGACCGTACAGAACACAACTTCGGGAACGAAAGCCCGCAAGACGAGACGGGTCCTCAGCCTCAGCCCGCATCAAGTTGCTTCGGAAGGGTCTTGGCCCGACGCCAACCACAAGGTTTGCACTGCTGTCTCTGATGCGTCTCCAGGACTCTTCCTGCCTGTGGGCTCGCTAAAATCACAATACCGGCACGTGCAGCGTTGCAGGGTGATCAATCGTACCTAGCACAAGCAAGTCAACATCTTTAAAACACACCGTGCTGCCACATGTGCTCAGTAGAGCAAGAATGTGCGGGGAACAGTGTCGGGTTGGAGCCAGAGCCAGAAGTGAGGGGCGATGAACTTGTAGGCTGCTGTCCTGCATCTTGTTTCTGGCCCGAAAGTGTTCCAAAGCCCTACAAGTTAGTGTTTCGCTTGCCGGTACTCGTTGCATGCACTTGCGAGTAAGACTGTCCGTTGAGAGCTGCTGTCAGCCTCCACCAGCTTGGGCGAGAGGTCTGTGTGTTTCGCATTGAATGGGGCAGCAGTCGGCTCGGAAGATAATGTTGCGCACCTTGTCCCAGAGAAGGTCAGCCTGCGAACATTTGCGGCGGAGCTAGCCGGCTCGATTTCGCAGATGCCATGGTGTCGGATGCCGTGGCATGCAGGCCAGCCTCGCTCGCTTTTCCTGTTCCGCCAAGCAGTTTTGTTTAAACCTTTGACTGGAGGCCGGACAGCGCACCCGCAAATCGCGAAGAAGGCGCACCTGCCAATGTGCAGGGCGCAGCACTAGCTGCGTCCGGCAGAGGAACAGAAAAAACCGATTGCGTATGAGCGTGAGCTTGGTGAAATGCGAAGACCATTTTTAAGGTTGAAGCTTAAACTAAACGTTGTCCTGGAGCAGGCACCCTTTGCTGTACTGGGCGTGTGTCGTCCGGGCGTGGCTTGTTTTGGGACGTGGGCATAGATAGACAGGTTTGCGATGCATGTGAGGACAATATCGAACTCAAGACTTTCTGGCAATCCAGATCCTACAGACCTTCCGTAAGCATGACCGACCGGGCCACGAGCAATCCAAAAAACAAGCTTCTTCGGCCTGCCTGTGTCCAACTCATGGTTCCGCTGAGCCTTGCTCGCCCACTACATGTCGGACCATTGCCGCTTTATTTGGTGAAGCATGTCATCGAGGGCATGTCCCCAATGCAGCTTACAGATGCAGGATGCGGGAAGTGCCGGAGATTCCAGACAAGTTCTCATCGACCAGGCATGTGAAAATCCTTGCAGCAGTTTCGTCTGCCATTTCATGCAAAGAGCACAGGTGAAAAGCCACCAGAAAGCTTCTCCTGCCTTCCAAAAAGCGTGGCATGCATACTGCGATGAGCATGGGGACGGCATCTATGATCCGGCAAGGCCTGGTGCCAGATTGTATCATTGCACGAGTCTTGCACACATGTGCGCGGTTTGGCAGGCACAAGAGCCAACTGCTGGAGGAGTTCCTGAAGACGGCGGCATCGAAGACCGCAGGATTGCAATTCTGCCAGAGTCGCACAGTCTCAGTTCCTGACTAAACATGAACTGAATAGGCGTCTTAAATAGTGCTCCTAGAGTTCATACACATTGGGCCTCAACTAGCAACTTCCGATTGTTACAGGCTCCAAGGCAAAAAAGAAGAAGAAGCAGGCCTGGCCGGGCCGCTGCCTTGAGACAAAGCCAGCAGCATTTCTCTCAGGCATCGGGCTCAGAATCTGCCACAAGCCGCAGCCGTAGCAGAACAAGAAGACGACGACGACACGCAAAAGTCACATGCTCAGCAAGCCCGTCGGAGAAGCTTTGCCAGCTGTGTCATTCCGAATCATCAAGGGCAGGCGTCGCGCACACGGACGCAGGCCGCGATGGAGACAATTTGAGAAATTAGGTTAGCTGAGCACCCAAGACTTCCTCAGCTACATTGTAGATACAGGCACAGGCGAGATCGGCGACGGAGAGATCATCGAGGCGTAAGCAAAACACGAAATCAAGTCGCGAATGAACGCATGCAAGCCGAGTCTGATACTGCTGTGACTGCCGTTGAAGCTCATTCGCGTAGGGCGAAGACGTCGCAAAGGACGCAGAAAGAGGTCGTCGAGTCCTAGGTTTGCAAACTGCACCTGTCGTGTCGAAGCAGTGCGTCCTCCGTGGCCATTGCCCCGTTAGACTGCTCCTGAAAACTGAGGCGCTCACGGTCACAAAGCTCTGGAAGTTCTGCCATGCATGGCCCACAGTTTAATTCACGGCCCTTTGCAACGGTTGGGCGATGCCTCTGAGAGTGTCGCCAGGTCCGGCCTTCCTTCGCGTGCGACAGCCATCAAGGTGCAAAACGTTTAGCGGCAAACGATCTCATACGGCTGCACCTTACTGGCGTTTTTTAACACTCGAAGCCGGAATGAGGGGGCACCCTGCTCCCAGAGTGGTTGTATTGTGAAGGGAGCAGAGCGGGCTGTGGCTTCTGCCGCGGAAGAGCTGAGCCGATTGAAAGCCAATCCGGCCGGCTTCCCAGCGTCCTGGCACGACGGACGCGACATCGCGTCCAGTCTGTGTAGCAGTAGCCTTGCAGGACAGTGAACTTCAAAGACCAGTTCGTGCCACACTGTTCCAGGATGCAGCCATCGATGAGCCAGCATTGCAAGGAAAGCAGAAGGAAGAGGCCATGGGTACGGGAGTGGTCTTTCATGGTCGTTTTGGTGTTGGTCCGACGGAGTTCCGCCGGTTTACTGACTAGACATCCCTGCAGATGGAAGTGGCCCTCCGAGCTCTCCAAAGCGAAGCTGATTCAGAGCTGGAGGCAAACTCTGCCGTCTGTGGTAGCTGCTTTTGCTCAGTTTTTGCTGTACGATCGACATGAGCTCAGGCACAGTTACAGGAAGTGAAAGAAAGGCTGGCTCGAGAGAAAGCCTCCCGCTTGGTGGAAGCGGAGGAGAAATTGGAGCAGGCCGAACCTCCTTTCAAGCGTTTGCTTCTTCCTCAAGATGTGTGAGCAGGCCATCGCTGAGCGCCTGAAAGAAGCCGAAGACAAGCTTCGACAAGAGGACTGCAAAGCCGCAGCAAGTAAGTATTGATGTTGCCGGGAATCCCGAAGGCCCAAGGAAGGCTCGATGAGGCCAAAAAGCTGGCAGAGGCGCTCACGAGCAATTTTCAAGTCCCAAGGAGTTTTGCTGAAAAGCGCACGGTCGTGTAGTTTGATCATGCCCGGCTAGCACAAAGCCACGAGATGTGGAAGGCAAAGCTCGAAGCGATCATGGCAGAGGTGGTGCAGCTAAGTCGTGCTATCTTCTCTGCGGGAATCGGATGTCAAGGACACGGCAAGTCCAGACCGAGGCTCGGCCAAAGATTGAGTCCTCCTGGGCAGACCAGCTCAAGGACTTGGAATCGAAGGCAACTGCGGCCCGCTTGCGCCTTAGATATTCGAGCATCGGAGAACATGAGCGGTGCACGCAGCTTAGGTGCAGCGGCTGGTGTCAGCAAGAAGAAATAGGCCGCAGGTTTCTTGCGGAGCGCAGAGACATGCTCTATCTTGCTAGCACAGCATTTGCCGAGGCGCTATGCTGGCGTGAGAAAGCCTCGGAGCATTTGACAAAAAAAGCTGCGTTCCGATAGCATCTGCACAGGGCCACATGGGACCGTCTCAGGTCAAAGGCTTTCTGTTGATGTCATTCTTCTCACCACCTGCACAGGATCGACTGCCCCTCGAGTGGCCAAGTCAACCGTCCAGCATTCTGAAATTCATAACTGAGTTTGCCTTAAATGTCGTTGTGAAACCGGTGCACGCCTTTGAACTGATCGTTTGCCATGGCAAGTGCCGGCGAAAGCGAAGATGACGAAGAGGTGCGGTTCAAATCTGCTTGCAAAGCTCAGCATGTGGATGTATCAGACATGAACTCAGGGGGTGCAATCGCCCTGATCCAAAGTCAGGTGGCCGACGCATTGGAAGCACGCCTTTCCACGCTTCAACACCTTTCGCCTGAAGAATCGGCGACCATGTTGGGTCGCATGCCTCCGCGTCAAGCTGGACAATTGGCTTTAGCCTCAGTCGAAGCAGCTGATGCTGGCAAGTGATTTGTATGCCTGAATGCCCACGGACGCACGAAGGTCTTGTTGATGGGTAGCGAAAACCGTGCGGCAATCCTGGCTGCAATGCCAGATGCTGCGAAGGAGGCTGTGGCAGGCACCCTGCCAACAGACACGGCGGACGCCCTCGGCCTTGTTGTGGCAAGTAGCCCGGTGGCAGCTGCTGAAAAAGCCGCACCCCAAATACGGCATGGAGCTAACATTTAGTTCTGTCGTAGCAACATAACAGCTACGTCTGGAGATGCTTCTTGGCATTGTGTCAAGGTACCAGTACAGAAACGGATGCGGCTGATAGCGTGCCCTGGCTGCGTGGATCAGATGTCTCGATATTGCTTGGCTGCTTAGTGAAGCAAAGCGGTTTGAAGTTGGGTATTGCTGCACGGCGCATTTGTTGTCGTGAGTTGCCAACCAACCCCGTGCCAACAGCTTTTGGCAATCGTTGCTACGGTTGATGGAGGAGCATCGTGTTGGATACGATCCCCTTCAAAGCTCCATGTGTTTCTTATGGTCGTTGCACTTGTGGAGCGTGGTTCAGAAGTTCAATGTCCCTCGACATGCATGACTGGCGCTCTAATGCATGTGCCGTGGAGGTGGCAGAAGTTCGACAAGGCCGGGTCAACGTTTTTCAGTCAACAGCATCACACGACATTGACCGGGGGCGATGACATAAATACGTATATGCATATATACTTAAATATGTTCATATATCTACACATACACAAGTTGTACAGGAGAGACACAGAGGTTTGGGCAGTGGACGTTGCTTGGGGAAAAGCAGATTCTGAAAGTTGTGCACTGCAGAGTGTCGTTGATGAGTTCCATCTTCAGATTCCAGGACGCACCCGAGAAAATAATGGATTGGAACTGGAAAATGGATCCGCTACTCTTCCGTGGCTAGAAACACCAATAAGAAAAAACATTAATAATAATGGCCCCCCCCCCCCCGCCTTCGAAAAATAATGGATTCGAAATGGAAAATGGATCCATTATTTGCCTGTATTTAGAAACAACAAGGAAAAATAGTATTAATAATAATGGCGCCCCCCCCCCCGCCTTCGAAAATAATGGATTGGAAATAGAAAATGGATCCGTTATCTTCCTGTAATTAGAAACAACATGCAAGGACAAATAATAATAATAATGGCGTCCCCCCCGCACTCGAAAAATAATGAATTCGAAATGGAAAATGGATCCATTATGTTCCTGTAATTAGAAACAACAAGGAAAAAATAAAAATAATGGCGTCCCCCCCAACCTCGAAAAGTAATGGGTTGGTCCCAAAATTGTCCTGTAATTAGAAACAACAAGGAAAACAACTAATAATAATGGCCCCCCCCCATCCCTTTCCCCCCTCCACCACCTCCGCCAAAATAAGAAGAAGAAGAATACTAATAATAATAATAATGGCGCACCCCACCCCCCCCCGGCCCTCGAAAAATTATGGGTTGGAAATGGCATATGGATTCATTATTTTCCTGCAATTAGAAACAACATCGAAAAATAATGGATTGGAAATGGAAAATGGATCCATTGTTTTCCTGTAAGTAAAAACAACAAGAAAAATAATAATAATGCCCACCGCGCCTCTTCACCTTCGGAAAATAATGGATTGGAAATGGAAAATGGATCCAGGATTTTCCTGACAATAAGAAAGAAAATCATGAGATTGGCGATTCCGATTCATCGTATATCCTAAACACGCCCGCCCCCTCACTTGGCGATCACGGTATCATCTATCTTAAACACCCCCCTTCCTTCCATGTGGCGATTCCGGTTCATGTTATACATCTCACACATGCCCCCTCACTTGGCCATCCCGACATCATCTATCTTAAACGCATCCGCCATTTGGCGATTCCGGTGTCATCTATCTTACACACACGCCCACATGTGGCGATTCCGGTTCATCCTATATCCTAAACACGCCCCGTCACTTGTCGATTCCGGTATCACCGATCTCAAACACACGCCCCCCTCGTTCGGCGATATCGGATCATCGTATATCTTAAACACGCCCCCTTCCTAGGCGATTCACGCGCTCCCTCACTTGGCGATTCCGGTATCACGTATCTGAAGTACACCCAACCCTCCATTTGGCGATTCCGGTAGCGTCTATATATCCCCCTCACTTGGCGATTCCGGGATCATCTACCTTAAACACACGCCCCCATTTGGCGATTCCGGTTCATCCTATATCCTAAACACCCCCCCTCGCTTGGCGATTCCGGCATCACCGATCTCAAACACACGCCCCATCCGGCGATTCCGGTCTCGTCTATCTTAAACAGGCCCCCCCCATCATATTTGGCGATTCCGGTTTCGTCTATTTTCAACACGCCCCCCATTTGGCGATTCCGGTTCATCGTATATCTTAAAGACGCCCCCTCACTTGGCGAGTCCGGCAGCATCTATCCAACACACACGCCCCATTCGTAGTCGTAGTAGTTGAAGTAGTAAAGTAGTAGTAGAAGTAGTAGTAGTAGTAGTAGTAGTAGTAGCAGCAGGAGTAGTAGTAGTAGTAGTTGTCGTTGTAGTAGTAGTAGTA